CCAGGTCCCTCTGGATGGCATCATGTCCCTCGGGTGTGCAACCATACCACTCAGTCTGGTGTCATCTGCAAACCTGCTGAAGGTGCACTCGATTCCACTGTCTCTGTCATTGACGAAGATATTAAAGAGTAATGGTCCCAGCATGGACCCATGAGGGACTCCACTCGTCACTGATCTCCATCTGGACATTGAGTCATTGACCACTACCCTCTGGATGCGACCGTCCAACCAATTCCTCATCCACCCAACAGTCCACCCATCAAATCCATCTCTCTCCAATTTAGAGAGAAGGATGTTGTGGGGGATCACATCAAAGGCCATACAGAAGTCCAGACAGACAACATCCGAAGTCCTCCCATGCATGTCAGCCCACATCTTGGGATCAGCATACTCCACTCACCTGATGCAGAAAGACTGCTTTTTGGTCATGTGCACATTCATAGAAATAAGGGAGGGAGATGCAAAGGCTTCAGAAACGCAAGAGGCTGGAGCAGGCTGCCAAAAGCATTCTGCCAGCCAGAAGTCCATTCCCATCTCACCTCGAAGCATTTACACAGAAGGGACTCCAGGGAACATCCTGGAAAGCATCTGACATTTCCAACAGACAGCATTCAGGGTGTAGACCAGAGCAGGTCACCCTGGCACTAAGGAATTAAGAAATACAATCTAGGTTCAACTGATGCCCAAAAGCTGTTACTGTCATTTGGAGGGGAAAGCCAACTCCAACAGGATTAAATTGTCCCCATGCCAAGTCTTTCAGTGATAACATGTTGTTACACTGAGAAGCAAATACAAATTGTCACAGCTCTCACCTTCTCCTCATGCGAGGGGGTGACCTGCGCCACATCGGTGGTGGTGGCAGCATCCTCCTGGGTGGGCTAAAGCGTCTGGGAGGCGGCCTAGGTCGTGGTGCCAGCACAGCTGTGGCAGTGATCTCCTGACCATCAATCTGGCCTTTTTCGGGAATCACAGAAACAGGAAAAAGTAAGTATTTTCCAACACTAACATCTACACATCATAGAAGCTTTGGGTTGGAAGGGGTCTTTACAGTCATCTAGTCCAACCCCCAACCACAATACTGCAACTCACAGCTTTGTCACAAGCAACTGAAGCATGAATCAGCCTACACTCCTATTGCTACCACCTGCTCAGGGATCATTTTGACAGTCCACATACATACTAGACTTCTTAATCTAATCCCATCAAACTGCAGTTCAGATGTTAGCCTGGAAAGATTTTCACAGAAACTTAGATAATTTTATTACTGTCTGTTTTGCAAAAAATAATTTTTAGTAGTTCTGTGATTTTTTTGCACCTGTCCTGAACCACACAAAAGCCAAAGCCATCTGGACTGAAAACAGTATTTCAGATCAGTTCCCCAAAGGCTTCCCCATCACTTCTAAGTCACTTTCAGATCAGACTCATCTGCTCCAATGATTTTTAAAAGCACCCAGCCTCCTTGCAACATTTGATACCTACCTCCATCCATGTGCTTCAGGGCTTTCTCAGCATCGTCTGGGTTCTCAAACTCCACATAAGCATAACCTTTAGAGAGGTGCGGGTTTAGTCTGTCAACTGGCATGTCAATCATTTTAATCTTCCCATAAGTGGAAAAAATTTCCATGATGTGATCCTGCAGAGAAAGAGCAAGTCTTAAGGATATAGACCACACTTAGTGACCAGGCCTGGCTGGTGGAGAGCAGTAAATCCAAGCCGTACACAGCACTAGATTAGCTTTTTAAATCAATGCTGTGACCAGGAAGAGCCATATTTCATTGGCCAGATGTGGAAAGGATTACCACTGCTTTCTCTATTGCTGTCTATTCAGTTCCTCCTCCAATTGTTCCAAACCTTCAGTTCTAGCAGCATTACTGCTGCATGTCAACATTGGCTACAAAAATACAACTACTGTAAAAATCCTGTTGGGGACCTGAAAAAGGAACTTAGCCCCTTCAGCTGACAACTCTTAAGGTGCAACTGTTAATATTAAAAAAAAAAAAAAACCACACCACAAAAAAACATACACATAATTTTTTCAGCACCCTAAACCTTTTACCTCTGAAGACCTTTAAATTACATTCTAGCAAAGACAACTCAAGCCAGCTCAGCTCTCCTTGGATCCTTTATCAAGAACCGTCAGATATCCTTAATGCCTCCAAGGTAATTTCAACTATTGTCGCAAATTCTACAGTTTTCTTCCTAGTAAGGCAAGATACAAGGTCTGTGATACTGACAAAGCAGACAGATCTCTTAAGCACTACACAGTCTCAAACACCTGCACTGTATTTGACGCTATAAAATCCTACCAAAATTTTCCTCACTGATAATTTGGACACAAAGCATGAATTTCCAACAGCAACACCTTGGCAGCACTCTAGCAACACAAAAGTTTTTGAGAGCTTTAAAAGAGCCACTTGCATTCCCTCACAGAAGATAGGCAAGCTTGCTATTACAGGGGAGCATGCCATTACCTTGGTCACGTTTCTAGTGAGCCTTCCAACATGCACTTTAGTAGGTCTGGGTGATGGGCTCCGCCTCTTCCGCTCCTTTTCATCTCTCTTGGGTGGCTTGGACCTGATTTTGACAACAGAAAATGTTCAGAGTTTTCAGGGAACATGCGAGACAAACCAAGAAACCAGTCATTATCACATGATAAAAAATACCATTTTTCTTGGGAGAGCATCTTCTTTCTTAAGTTACAGGTTAAGAAGTGCTGGGGTGGTGGTGAGGGTGTTCCACTCAGAAACACCTCAGGACTTGCATTTGCCTTGTCTGCTTTTGCTTTAGAACCTATTGGAATTTGGGAGCCTTTTGTTACGAGTTTTCAACTTTACTGCAACTAGGGTAACAAACATGAAATTTAGCAAACATTTCTATAAAGTTGTTGGCCACAGCTAAAGAATTTCCCAGTTGCTAAAACAAAAAACATTCTTTGTCTCAACAATTAAAGAGGCAAAATGAGGACATGAACACCAAAGCATGCCACAACCAGGAAAATTAATGGATCCAATGATTTGTGTTTCTGTATCTTCTGTTCACTACAGAGGTCCAGAAATGTCACGGTTAAAAAAAAACTACTGAAGTAGTTGCAATCACAATTTCTTTGTAGTTAAAAAAACAAAAAACAAAAAACAAACAAACCTGGAATGTAATTTTAACCTGTAAAAAACTCAGTCTGCACTTTTACATACTGCATTGCAAAACTCACATTTATACTTCTTCCTAATCTTACTGTCCATAAATTGAGGGGTGTACTAAAAAAAGCCACACTGGCTTGTAATACTTCAGTAGATTCGCTCAGCCTTCAGCACCTTACCTACTGAATTATCCAAAGGAAAAACTGTATGGACATTATTGATTCCTACCCTTACAGTAAAATGCTTCCTTTGCCCCCCTCCCATTTTTTTTTTTAATGCATACGAATATACATATACACATGCATACACATATACACCATTTTCAGCCCTTACTTTTCTGTTAGCCTTTGATGTAATTTACAGGAACCAAAGAGCTTTACTCTCATCTAGGGCCCATATATTCCCACACTATTGGGGAACCGTTGATTAAAACTGCCTCTACAAAATATAGTATGTAGAAATCACTCTTTAAAATGAGGTTCTAATCTCTTTTCCTGTAAGGCATATGTTTTGATTGCAAGCAAAAGCAGCACACCCATTCTAACAAAATCCAGATCTCCAAGTTACGGAGAGAGAAAATGGTCCTCAGGAAAAAAAATCTATTCTGATCACAATCTTGTGTTCTGCATGGAAATTAACCTGCCATCTGGTGATCCCTAGAAGAAAAATAAACCTCACTTGGAGCGGGAGCGTCTCCTGTTGTCATGTCTCCGTCGAGATGGACTTGGAGATCCAGAGGAGCTGCTGGAACTGGAACTGCGTGAGGTGCTGGAGCTCCCAGAGCGGCTTGAGGCAGAAGAGGAGCTAGAGCCACTGCTAGAACCAGTGCTGGAACTGGACCCTGAACTGGAAGTTGAGCTGGAACGGGATCTGTTTGGGGGGCAGGGGTGGGAAATAAAAATGAGTAGAGTACCCAGAAAAAGAATGGCTGAAAAACTTCTGGTAACTATGGAGAGAGCAACTGTGAGTTAGCACAATGAAAACTGATGCTCCATAGCTCACTAGGCAGCCAAAGGAAATTCATACCTAAAAAATAAACCCCTTAAGTTAGACAAAACTGCATTGCGACTAACACAATGCAAGCTTTCAAGAAGTCCGTGACACAGGGAACAAAACCTACCAGAAATCAAGCTGGTGGTTTCTGAAAACACTGTAATTTGTTACTACCTGTAAAAGTAACTACCTGGTACTGCTGCTCCCGCTGGAAGCACTGCGTCTTTTGCGCGTCTTGTCTCGACCACGATCCTTTTCACCTGATTCCTTAGTGGCTGCTTTATCCTTGGACCGGTCCTTTGATTTATCTTCAGACCTATCCTTGCGCTTGGTTGGTGAGGGAGCCCTTCAAGAACAAGTTGCAGAAGATGCTGTTTAATATAGAAAAACACAAACAAAAAACCCACACCCAAACAAAGAACAGAACATCAACACACAACATTGAACTTTAAATGTAACTCAAGATCATCGTAACTGCAGAATTAAAGCATTAGGCAAGTTTGGACTTTTTAGAAAAAGGAAAATATTTTGCATTACAGAGCAGTTTTGAGGCAGACAGCTATAGCATACAGAAATTCTCACATACAGAAATTCACGCAGAAAGAGGTACATTTCCAATTCCTCACCCTCACTGAGAGCGCCCTAGTATCCTCTAACATCCCCAGTTTTGTTAAGCCTAGAAAATTCGGACAGAATGATTACCTAGTGTTGGATTTTTTATTATTTTCTTTGAGTCCTAGCAAACTCTTCTTTTTCAATCCTGATAACTCCATTTCCCCTTCGGAGGCGTCCAAAGCAGCACCGAATGGGCCTCACTTATCTCAAATCTCACTTCTAACTCCTTGATTCTGAGAATCGATCCCTAATCGAGTGCAATAAACTCCAAAGAACAGCCTAGTGACAAGATAAAAGGGTTTAGAAACAAGAAATTAACAGATAGGCATAAAACAACAAACCTGCTTTGCAACAATGGCAGCACACTGGGCATCAACCGACTTCTACAGAGTACTTCATTTACACATACTGGCACATAGCTGTTAACAGCCAACCTCTGTGCTGCCTCACACTGGCACCGTGTGCCTCATGTAAAAGTCTGCATCCATGTTTAAAGCTATCATTTTGACATTCACAGAAGTACAAAGGACCTTAATTATCCAACCAAAAAAATGGCAGACAGAGGACATCCATTTTCTCTGCAAGATGTACACGCAGCTCATGCCTCTTGACAACGAGAGCCTCGTCTCCAGAGGAGTAAGCACTGGTTTCCTCCAAAGCCAGTTTGTGCCATTAGCGTGTATTTGTCAGGAAGAAAGGGTTGTTGAGAACAAAACCTCCCACTGAATTATGGCTGCTTTCAGCCTTAACAAGCTGCTTCCAAAGCTCTGTCAGCCTTGGAGAGGCCAGATTAAAGGGCCCAGTTTGCGGCACTGCTGCAACAGCAGATTCTACTTTAACTTCTTAGCAGAAAGTCTAAACCAGATTCTGACCTCATCTAGCCCCAATCAGTTCCCTCTTTACTCTAGACCCAAAAGGAGACAAATTTAACACCCCACTATTTAACACTGAAATACTGGGCATTAGTTGAATTCCAGAGGTTTCCGAAGAGAGGGCTGCATCCATCACATATTCCACCATGTCTAAACACGTTGTTGCATTTTGGCTATTCCACAAGGTTTGTTTAACAGCTGCATTACAAAGCTGCCTCCGACACATGTTTTAATAACCACTAAAAGAGCGTGGCAGATTCGATTTGCTGTAACACCCATTACCTACCTATGAATGAAACATTCAGGAAATGGAAGAGTGGGTACAAGCATGTCTGAACAGCCAGGCTTATCTGAAGTGGTACTGAATATTCACAGTACTGCATGATGTTGGAAACCTCTCTGACTCCGCATGCATCACAGGCAAACTTAGTGACAAGAAAAAAACACCTCTCCAGCTCACTGCATCCAACAGCTTTGCTGCTTCTACACTTCTGGTGTAGATTCTGGTAAGGAATTACTTTATTCTCTAAATTGCAATTAAATTTATGTTTGGGAAGAGATCACTTCTGAACAGCTGAACTCACTTTCCTCATTTTCAGCTTCACAGCTTTCCCTAATACAACAACTCCAAAAAGCAACACAAATGAACATTTGCAAACCCAGCGCTCTGCAGATCCAGAAGTCAAGAAGCACCCATGCCTTTTTGCATGGAGAACAGGAAACCCACAACATAAATGTGACACTGGCAGGGCTCGCTGGGAGAGGCAATGTCTTCTCTAACACAAGTGGCGGTAAGAACTCAGTCCATGGATTGTTCCATAGGTGCTGCAAAAGTGACTAAGAAAAGCAAACCAGTGTATGTTTTTCTAACCAGCGCTATGCCTCTAGTGCAAAGTGCAAGGGGCCTGCAGTTCAAAAACTAAAACCACCACATGAGTCCAGCCAGCTCACTTGATAGCTGGCTCCAGTTTTGCCCCTACTGGAAGAGAGGGCATCCAGATGAAGACCAGCACACGCTTTGCCTGCTGCTGGAGTAGTGGGTAATACTCAGTTAAACAGCTACCACTCTGGCACCACTCCTCAGGACAGGCAATTACCAGACAATTAACCACATGATGTTTATACATTCAGCAAAATTCCACATGATGGTACCTGAAGCATTTAAACAGCCTCCAAACTAACCAGTGTTTTCTCTCCATCAAAATACATGTAACTTTCTCAAGAATGCCACTTGTCTAGCTTACTTCAGTTGGAAACCCCAGCCTAAGAGACACAGCCTGTGGGCACTTTCACCTCCATGTATTCAGATATGCACTAGAAGAGGTGGAAAAATAAAGTCATGGTCTTCACACAAGGGTGTAAACAATGCATTTCTAAGTGACATGCTTATTTCCTACAATCAAGAATACTCTCAATCCAAAACAAGTCAATGTTTTTGCAGCACCCACCCCAAACGGGAAAGTCTAAGAGCAATCTACAGAGGCCAAACATTCATTTCACACACACACACCTCTCTGCTTTAAAGAGTTGATTTGCACTCTTAGAGAGCTGCAATTCTGTGGCAGAGGAAGCAAACCCAGCTCTCCCCCGGACTTCCTGCACGACTACAGGAAAGTCCTTTAATGGCAGTTTGCTTCAGATCCTCATTTGCAAAATGGGGAAAAGATTTCCTCGTGTGAGGAGAGGGTTCAAGGCTCGGCAGTTCTTTGCAAAGTTACGGCCGCTCGCCCAAGCTAACTACAGCGAGCAGGGCCGGAGGAGCGCAGGGGCAGCCAGCTCCGCGTCCCGGTTCGCACGCCATGGGGTACGTTACGGCGCCGGGCGGACCGAGGGCTTGTCGCTGCTGACCGCACCGTGCGTGTTGCCATACTATGAGCGAAGCCAAGGCGCGGGCTGAGGAACAGGGAGAGAAAAGCACAGACCAAGCACAGAGTCGGTTCAGAGCAGAGCCCGCACCCCGGG